TTTTTTTGAGCGTCGTTACTACCGTAATTTATGGCTGATTGAATTCGTGGTTAGATACACCGCGCTCTTGTATGGACATTTGAACATCGCGTAGTAGTGTGAATATTGCATTGTTGTCTTAGAAGCGTTGTTGGTTAATCCATGTAAGTTAGGATTACTGAATAAATCATATTGGGGATCTTTATCTTTTATTTCCAATATTAATTGGTAAGTTATTGATATTGTGAGTTACTTAGGGTATCTGGAGGATTAAATTTACCTGGCGCCCATTAAGATCTATTTGAAATTTGCTAAGTTGTTCAACCCACTCCCGTCTCCACTGTTTAGCTTAGCCGCGGATACCCATCTGTCTTATTTGTTACCGACAGATGATTTAGTCTCCTCTTGTGGTTTGTGAGGTGACACTAATAAAACTAGACGTGTCACACAAACACTTAAAAGAAAAATCGATGATAACGTTCGAAAAGAAGAGGCATATTCAAGACATACAAAATACAAATACATACAGCATGACAAATTCGATGTATTTGGAGAACATATGACGTGTAAAATAAGGGATTTGAATACCACCTGCGCACAAAATACTGTAGAACATCTTATAAGTAATATTTTGTTTGATGCAAGTATGGGTAAATATGATTATGGAATTCCACAAGCAACTAACACATATGAGCCAATTTTATCAATGCAACCTTTTACGAGACCACCATCACATTCATCGTATTGCAGCACACCAGCTACATTACCAGAGGAGACATACATACAAAACTCTTCAGACTTCTCTACTGCTATTGAGTCTTCAAACATTATCGCAGAGGCATTTCAATTGAGTAACATGTAAAAGTTCTAAATTGATCAATAAAAAAAGTACGATTGAGTTTACTTACCTCAACTTGATCTTTAATTGCATTTACTAGCGCAGCACAAACTTCTGGTACTATCTTTGAGATAGCTTGTTTCGAAATCTTAAATAAATACATCAAGCTGCTGTAGGAATCTCCAGTTGCCAGAAAGTGCAATGTTACAGCTAATCGTTCTTGTGGAGGTATAGCCTTTCTACAGTTTGCATCTGCTTTTCTAATCACTGATGCAATTTTTTGCAGCAAAAATTCCATATCTGAACTACTCATGCGCAAAAAATTTTTGAAGCACCCATCGGTTCAAAGTTCTAATAAAACGTCATCTTTCTTTGAATCCGATAATAATTCCTGTCCACCATATTCTTCCCTTTTCTTCAAACTTGGACGGACCATACATTTACGCTTTCGTTTTCGTGAATTACCGCACAAAATTAGAAAGCACGCGGTAGCAGTTAATAAGTCTTCCTCCATCATGTCAGAAAACTACATCAGTGTGGACAGAATGTTGTACTCAACTGAATTTGAGATTCGACAAGTGCAAACATTCATTAACATTGTTGCACCAGTGAGGACAGTTTGTTTTATGTCAAAGTTTAATGAATGGGGAATGTTTCTCAATTTGGGTCATTACAGCAAATGCAAGTTTGAACAAAATAAAGTTGAGTTTAACTCATGAGTTCAAATGTTCAAATGTTGTTGTTTCAAATGTTGGGTTTTAATTTTTAAAGGGTTTTGTTTCTAATTCACATATTGGCAACAGCGCCTATATCAAGTTGAAATAATTTATACGTACCTAGATATTCTACTTTAAAAAAGGCAAAATATATAGTTCAATAACACCTCCACAAGCCACATAAACATAAACGTTGTTTTGTTATTTATTTATATAGAGGAAGATAGGTTAGGTGCACAAAATGTCATATGTCAAAGAATGTCTTGGAACTAGGAACATAAGTAAACAGAACAGCACGCCTCTGAAATATGTCATCTTTGTTTGTCTCATACAGGTA